CGACGCTAGGCATCTTAGACCACCCTCAAACTCTTCTCGGCAGCTGGTCTTCTCGGCCTGCCTCTTCTGTTCTTATGGGCTTCCGAAAGCGACGTTAGGCATTTTGGCCCAGCTTCAAACCCTTCCCAGCGCCTTTGGCCTACTCCTGCATCGCAGCCTTGCCTGCGTCAGGCGGGAGCCTGGGGAGGGAGCCTCTGGAACGCGCAGCCCGTGCACTGCAGCCTTAGAACTGAGCCTGTGGGACCCCCACCTCGGCAGCCCTCAAACCCTCAAACTCTTCTCGGCAGCTGGTCTTCTTGGCCTGCGGCTTCTCTTCTTCTGGCGTCCGAAAGCGAGATTAGGCACATTTTGGACCGCCCTCAAACTCTTCTCGGCAGCTGGCAGGCCTGCCTCTTCTCTTCCTATGGGCTTCCGACAGCGACGTTAGGCATTTTGGCCCGGCTTCAAACCCTTCCCAGCGCCTTTGGCCTACTCCTGCGTCGCAGCCTTGCCTGCGTCAGGCGGGAGCCTGGGGAGGGAGCCTCTGCCACCGTGCACTGCAGCCTTAGAACTGATCTGTGGAACCTGCCAGCTCGGCCTGCGCCTCTTTTCTTTAGGGTCCTCTAGGCACCTTCAAACCCTTCCCGGCACCTTTGGCCTAGTCCTGCAACACAGCCTTGCGCGGCTCCCGTTTGCCCGGTGGTTACGTGGCTTCCGGCTGATTGGTCTATACTCTATTTCTTTCTTTCGCGCTTGCGCTCTTGCACTTGCCACGTGTTTTTCGGGCATGGTTTTCCCGCTGGCGTGTTGTGTTGGCACCGAACGCGCCCAAACAACTGTGATGACCAGACCACAGTCTGGCACGCTGGGCATGTGTGCGGATGCTGCCGCGTCTGCGTGCTAACCGTGCCTTCATTCACATAGAATTGGTTGCCGCACGCGGTTCGGTGATTTATTCGCCCTGTCCTCACATTGCTCGCCACAGTTCCATTGCAAAATGGACACGCATAGACTAAGTTCTTGGCGGCAACGTGTCCGTCTTTGACACGAAAAAACTTCCCGCACACACGGCAGTGATTTACTTGGCCTGTGCGCACAGTGCTGGTCACAGACACCTCACAAAAAGGACACGCATATTGGAACATTTCCTCGGCGGCCGTGTGTCCAGCCAACTTTGCCGGCGGTGCGAGCGTCGTCTGCGCGGCTGTCGGGGTGGCTTGCGTCTCTTGTTTCGGCTTTGCCTGCGAGTTTCGTCGCGGCGGCGGCGCTTTCCTGGCTTCGCTGCTCACCGACACGTGTTTTGCACGCTTCGCTGCAGGCTCTGCCTGCGCTACTTGCGTTGTCTGTGCGCGGGGCTGGGTCTTGGTGGGCGTCGGCTGTGCTTGCTTGTCTTGTTGTGGTTCCATGTGTCTTTTGCGCGACGGCTTGGTGTCTGTTGAGACACTTTCTGCTTCAATTTCCGTCTTGCTTTGGGCCATCTGCCTTTCTTTTCTCCGGTTCGGCACCTGCGCCCGGGGAAAGAGCACCTCATCCTCGGCTTGCTTCTGTCGCACGCGGTCAGCGATCTCTTCCCGCACAAGACCTATGACTTGCTGTCTCTTTTCTTCGGCTACTTTCGTCCGCGTCGCAGCCAGGCGCCGTATGGCTCTCTGCGCGACACTTCGTGGCAACCGCTGCCCGTGGCAGCTGTAGACCCGTGCATCCGCCCGGGCAGGCCGCCCCCTGCACCGCGCACGGCTGTTCTTTGCGCGCTGCGCTGCTGCGCGCTTGGCCGCGCTGGGGACACAAGCGTTGCAACGCTGCGTTCCGTCTTGCGGTGCAGCGCGCTGCCTGGACCAGGCGCTGAAGTCATTGCGCGCCTTACGTTCCGTGCACACGGCACAGCGCCACGCACCCTTCACTTTCATGGCGCAGTCCCTGCAGACACGTCGGTCTGCATGGCGCCCTTTCCACGCGGCCGCCCCGAATGCACTTTCCGGCTTGGCCGTACCGCACTTGTAGCACCGCTTCTGTGCCTCGCACGTCTGGCACACGCGGTAGAAAGTGCATTGGGGACGCGCGTACATTCTTGCAAAGGCGTCTTCGTGCTTCCATGCCTTGCAACTGTTGCATTGCCAGGGCGTGTTGTTGGCTGCGTAGTTGCGTACGCATTCTCTGCACACACGTGCGTCCGCGTCCCGTTTCCATTGCCCGGCGCTGTACCCGCTTCTGGGTTTGCTTTCGCGGCACTCGCGACACACTTCCTCCTCGCGGTGCCGCGTGCGCAACGTTGCCCAGTCAATGCTCTCTCCGCGCCAGGCCTGCAACAGCAAAGCTCTCCCTACGCTGCGTCCTTTCTGATAGGGTGCAGCATCGAATGGTCCTTTCTGATAGGGTGCAGCATCGAGCTTGCGGGGGCCAGCCGCGCTTTTGCTTGCACACCCTATTTGAGAGCACGTTTGTGTTTTTTGGGGACTCCTGAGAGCATGTTGCGACCGACGTCTCCAGCTCCAGCCAATCAACAAAACGGAAGATGTTTGATGGACAAAAAATCACTTGAAAAGGGGTCGGCGGCACCCGGGCGAAGCCCTTACAATTATATATATATATATGTATACAAACAGAAGAGGCACCTCGCAACAGTTCACCTCTTCCCATAGACACACTCTTTTTGAAGTGCAAAGAATTGCAGAATTGTATACATGCTTTGCTTTGTTTTGCCCCTGTGGCACCATGTGCCTATCACTTTGTCAGAATGAATGGGCAAGGCCTGGCTTTCTAAAGCTTTCAAGCTCAGGTGGCCCAAGTGTACTTGTTCAATGTGGCCGGCATCGGTTGGCAGTTCTGAGCATGGACACGATGAAACTGGAAGTGGCTCTGCACATCTCAGTTTCAGCCCTAAGCAGCGCATCCTGAAATGCAATGAGTCCGCTCTGTACAAGGATAAAATAAGGAGCACTTTTGAGGTTGACTTTGCCAACTCAAGGACTGCCCAAATCAGATCTCTTAAACCACGAAGTCTGCCATGCTCCTGCTTGCCCTCCTCTTTTGTTGCTCCAAGAATGCCTTTCGAGCTGCAAAGGCGCACGACTCCACATCGACTACTTCTACTGCGTTGCTGGGTGCAGCGTTCAGGGAAGCGCGATGCCCTAGAAGCATAGGGAGCGTTTGTTTGATTGGTGTCTGCCGAACTGGTGCATCCCGCTCCTCCTTCCGCAAAAGGCGAGCCAGCACGGCATCCCTGGTTGCTGATGCAGCTGCTGCTGCATTGGCAGGACTAGACAAGTCCTCCGTATTCTGTAGGAATCGACCTCCAAGGAGGCGTGAGAAATTCCCAACAAAAGTTGGCCCACTCTCATCAGCGAAGTGTACTGAACGCTGGTGAGTGGAAACTTTGGTCCGCTTTTCCACTTCCTCTGGAAAGAAGTTGAGCCCACGATTCAAGGTGCTGAGGGGGCTGATGGCGAAAGGACTCACCACTGGCGTCTTGGGACTCATTGGGGTCTTCGGTGTGCGCAAGGCTTTCGGTGAAGGTGCATGTGCGACAATGCTCTCAAAGCTCTGTGAAGCCTTTGCCAGGAATCGCATGGAGACCGCCATAGCCTTGTTGCAAGTCCTTTTGAGCTGTGTCAAGTGCTGCTTCTACCGCTTCTCACTTGAGATCTTTGGCGGCAGCATTCAATGAGATAATTGGTGGTCGAAGTGCAACATTACCCACGAATCTACCGCATCAAAAGTCGCAAGGTCCCGGCAAAGAATTGTTTGCCCCAGGGCTCGATTGGCGTTACTGGCGAGGCATCTGGAGGCGGCCAGAAGGGGAAGCGCGCCTGCCGGAAAAGAATACGTTGCGTTCCATCTCACGCTTGAAAGACTGAAGGCACATGTCTGCAATCGGAACTCTGCAAATGCCTTGGCCGCTTCCCAGCCTTCCACCTTCGGATGGCCAGCTTGTTCATGAAGGGCTTGTCTGCACCCCACCTAGCATGACCAAGTTGTTCAATTGGACTCCAATGGACAGAAGCAGTGATTTATGTAATGTTGTGCAGTTCCAATGCTTGATTTGTCTCACTACACAAAGACCACAACAACGTAGGCAAATAACAAACGATTCCAAGCTGGCCAGTATGACACCATGGCTGGCTGAGGGCAAAGGAAAGTTGCCAAAATGATGTAGGTTGGAGGCCATCGCTAGTAGGTTGGAGGCCATGGCTATTGGGATGGAGGCCATTGCTGTTAGGTTCCTTTTCTTTTTCTTTTTGTCATTGATGCGCTGGGAACATCCCCAATGCTTTTCCCTCTCGGCTCACATGTCCTCTGAAATCCCCGCTGGTTCAGTGCTTCTCCCCACGCCGCCAAAACATTGTCATCATGGATTGTGTCCAAGCGACTTACCTGGTACAAGTACGAACCATTTGAGCGTCAGTTGCAGGTGCTGCATCGAAAAAGCTTTGGGAAAAAGCCAGCATGCCAGGTTCGTTCAACTGGAATGAGGACATTCAGCTAGCAGCTAGTGCACAGTTAATGTTCAGTTGTAAGCTGTTGAGATGAACTCCAACTCGACCACACCCACACTCCCTGCAAAGAGCTTCATCCCACCCTGCAGCTGTCAGGATTGCTTGCCCTTCTTTTTCAGTGAGACAACCACCAATGCGCACAATGAGGACCACAAGCACCATGCGGTGCGGTGGAAAGCAGGATCCGGGAGCTTAGAATCTTGGCATGCAAAGACCGGTGGCAGTGCGATATTCTGTAAGGCAGACAGCGAACATACATCCCTACAAACATTGGGAGCCATCAGAAACTTCTTCATTGAACCTAGCTGTCCAGGATAGGCCTTTGAGGTCCCGGAGAGTTCACAGGAGGATGGGCAGCACACCCATCCGTGTTTTTAGAGCCAGGCGCCTTGAAAGCAGCTGTACAACTTTCTGCTCCCAGCAAAACATGGAAACAATGATGCAGTGAGAGAAACTGATGTAATTAGTCCTTTTCTGCTCCCAAGAACAAGAACTCAACTGGCTCGGAGCCTTACAAAGTGAATTTAGTACTTGCTGTGTGCATTTATATAAATATTCCATCCATCCGTCCGTCCTTCCATCCATCCATCCCTGCATACATACAGTACAGTACAGTACAGTACAAATAGTACAGTACGGTACGGTACGGTACAGTACATTACTACATTACTTACATACATACATACATGCATACCATTACATTACATTACATTACCTTACCTTACCTTACCTTACGTTACGTTACATTACATTGCATTGCATTACATTACATTACATTACATTACATTACATACATTACATACATAAATACATACCGTTACATACTCTTACATACCACTACAGACCATTTCATAACTTTATATACATAATATTACCTAACATTCCGTAACAACACATTACACTACAAAACATTACATTGCACTACACTACGCTACATACCGTACCATACCATTGCATTGCGATGCATTACATTACAGTACATTGCATTACATTACATACTAGCATTATATGTGTATCAAGATCGTATCATTTTTGCTGTTTTGTATGTTCAAGCGCTTTTTGGATTCACCAGGTGAGGAATGGTTGAGTGTTTGACTGGGTGCAAGGGCAGCCTGGAAGCCCTTTCTAAGGCAGCTCATCTTTGATGAGATGCCTAGTTGGTGGCTTTGTGTGAGCGCAGGTTTTCTACTAGAAGAAATCTTCCCCATCTTCCAGTGAGGAAAATATGCGCAACCAATCTAAGCAATGAGTGAGGATCGTCTCAGCGCTGAGCTGACACTCCTGGCCGCCATGCCCGTCCACGGGCCCACGAGAAAAAGCAAAAAATGAAAAGTACGAGACCTTGGGAAGAAACACTTGTCAAGTGACCACTCACCAGTCAGTGGAGAGGCTCCTGAGATGGAAATGTCCACCGGATCCCGCCGGAGTGGTTGAGACGTACTTCTGCTCAGACCTTTAAACCATGATGCAAGTCATCATAATCATAAGTCAAAAGCAAAGAGAAGTAGAAGCGCGGACTCCGACTAAATCCCGATGTGATCCCACTTCACATAAATTGAAAAAGAAAGTAACATGCAGTCCAAGCAACGGCGCTGTCCCCTGTCTGGCGGAGATCGGCTGCCTCAAGGAAGTCACTTGTGGAAAGGTTCCCTCACTGACCCGGACGAACAAAATTTAGCCAAGCTTCGACCTTTCGGTGCCGAATGCACCATCGGTGGTGAACTTATTTGTGGCAAAGGCAGGGCCTCCGGAACTTCAGCTCGGAGTGTAGCGATATATATATGTCAATGACTTAATCCCACATCATGAATTGGTAAGTTGCTTTGCTACAGTATGCTTTGCCTTAGTTTGGCACGTTGCATCAACTTTATCCAGAACTACTCCACGGTTCCCCATATACAGGAACTTGAATTGTCCGACACCCCCTTCCTTGGATCCGCTGATGATCGCTGTGAAGGGTTCTGATGGAGCTGAAGCAGTCAGACTGCTCTTGCACAAGCGCTTTCCTGGCTGTTGAAGGGTTGGCTGAAATTTGAGAAAAAGGAACTTGCAGGTGTGTGGGTCTGTGTATGTTTTGTCAAGAAATCAGAAACCGTATGAAACCACAATGGTTCGTCTGCCTCTCTTTCTTGCTCGGTGTCTCTCTTTCTTGGTCTTTGTATTCCAGCTTAAGTTTCCCTAAAAATCTAGGAACCAAAGCATTAGTACGAGCGCTTCTTCAAGGAAGCTCCTCGCCACCCTCAGGCCGGGAGCTTCCTTGAAGAAGCAAGAGCTATCCTGCGTCCTACCTAGAAGCTTATCTCACTTATCTCCCTTACTTAATTACGTAGACGCTTACTTAAGTAAGTAGGAGCGGGCTAAAACAAAAATAAAAAGAATGAAAAATATCAAGGCTTAAAGTCTGGCCTCCTTCCACCAGCTTGGCATCCCTTGCGCTTAGCCGCCGCTGCATCACAGGAGGTGCGCTTGGCTCCGTAGGTGTGGGTGGCACTATGACAGCCAACTGGCACGGCAGCAGAAAATTGATCTTCCACTTTTGGTCCTAGTTCCTCGCGATGTAAACTGATCAGAAGGGATTGCAGTCTGGCCACGGCCAGCATATGAATCAGAAACTACATTCATGATCATCGGCAGGTGAACCAGCCTTCACGTGCTTCATCTCAGATGTCAATTAGAAAGATTGTTTCAGGTCAAATCCCTATAGTTGCAACATATACATTTGGCATCACTTGGCTATGTAGCTCTCCCAAACCTGACACTCGGATGCGGTATCAATCCGTCATGACCGTCATGGTTGTCCCTTTGCTTCATTGCTGTCGCTTCCTCCCCACTCATCCAGCCAAGTCCAGCCTCTGGCTCCTGCAAGTCCTCAGCTACACATTAATATTGACCGCCCAAAGAAAGGCAGGACAAACTTCGTAGCGTTTGCAGCACCACACCACCCTGCTCACCGCTGCTCCGCTTTCTGCAGCCAAGTGGCCATGCTCATGGCACTCTCCAAAGTCGCCAGTTTTGGAGTCTTCGGAGTCTTTGGCGCCATCTCCTGCACACTGGTCTTCTCATTAAACTATAGACTTTATTTATATAACATATGCATATATAATATAAATATATATATATATACACTCATGGCTGACGGCATAGGAATTTGCTGGGCTAATGGCATTGGGTTTCGGGGCCACAGCGTTTAGGTCATCAGAGCTGTGGATGTTCTGCCAGTACATGACTCCAAAAAAGTATAACAAAAATAACGTGCCCAAAGGAAGAATATGACTGTTTCAAGCTTCATGACTTAGGCGCGCTCCCTAAGTGTTTCCCACCGCCTGAGCTATGTTTGAGTCTGGGAGGAGTGCCCAGATGCAGTTGGCGACTTGAGACCATCCGGGTTTGCACCCTCCGGGTTTGCACCATCCGCCGTTCCAAAAGGAGGTTCGTGGACATCACTGTGGGGGACCGGTCTCTTCTACTCACCAGGTGATCGACATCAGGCCTCACCATCAGGCCTTTCTTTGAAAACACTTTCACATTTCAGAGACTTGCTGGTCCAATTCAATTTCCTTTCTTTCCTGGGCACTCATCATAGGTTGTCGCCCTGTTTGAACAAGCGCTTTCCTATCCCATCACCTAGTTGCCACATGCTATGTTGGTGGCATACTCCTAGGTCATGTGTGGTTTAATGTCAAAAACCTCCTCAAACCATGCAATCTCAAATATTTATGTGACAACATAATTGTGTGTGAGGCTCATTTTTGTATGTTTTGACCTGATGAGATAGGAGCTGTGGCATATTGGCTATTGCATGATGACATAGGCTTTTTGTTCCCACCATGATTTCACAGCTCCTATCTCATTTCCCCAGAGTATCTATAGCCTATTTACCCGTGTCACATAAGTGACAGCTACAGGGAATGTCTCCCTTTGCAAAGAGGCCTGGGACACACCATCAAAAAAGTCCATCGACTCCTTCACAGTAGCACTGGGTGAAGGCAGGCCAGAAACAGCCCCTTTGGGCGTCATGTCCATCCTGCCGCTCTGGGGGGTCATGTCCCCAAAGCGCCTCAATCGGTTCATAAATGCCGTGCTCTG